GGCACTTATAGGACGATGATGTGATGTGTAGGTAATATGAGCATTGTGATGTAGTAAACCATACCTACGTGGATACGTGGTGGAGCCATACCTATATGTCGTGGTGGCCCGGAGGTTAAGGAGCCCGCTTCTCATGCATGAGGGTGTGGGTTCGATACCTGGCAAGTACCAATGTTACTTTTTCCGAGTGATATGTACTTTCTATGATTATTTAGACACCACTGACATACGGTGTAGGTAAACATCGTGAGGAAACTTGGACTTATAATTTCTAATTATAAGTTTGAAATCGCCAATCCGCAATGAGCAAGCGTGGTGATTAATGCTCTCATACCTTCTCCGTGTGAGAAGAGGTATTCTCTGAGCAGTTGGCACTTATAGGGCGATGATATGATGTGTAATATGAGCATTGTTATGGAGTAAACCATACCTACTGGTATAAAACATAATAAATATTAAACTCGTTTATATGTCTCTACAAACGGATTCTTCTAAGTACTAACAAAGAAATCTTTAATAAATTGAACAAATAAAAATAAGTTAAATCACAGATACAATAATTAACAAATTCTACGCCTTAAAAAGTTACGCAAAGACTTGACACGACCAATTGTGATTTGCACGGACATTATTGTTCTTTTTTATCACATTTCTTCCAATTATGCGCACAAGCAAGCACGCCGCGGTTTTTGCGGAGGTGTGTCAGAGGCAAACCATAAAAACAGCTACGTAGTTTATTTTCGTGTCACATTTTATTGTTACGTAGATCTATTCAAGGCCAAAAACACCGGAAAACTTGTGCAAATAATCAAATTCACAACGTTTGTAACTCAGGGCCACAAAAGGCAAGGTGTAGAGCAGATATTGAGACTTGGTAACAGTTTAGAAGTACTAGAATTAAATATATTATTATGTGTAATCTTTTTTTTTTGGATCAAGGCTGCACATACAACCGGCTAAGCGTAGCATGTTTGATATGAAAGGCTGTGTTTTGCGAAAAAACAACAAGGACGAAATTACGTATTTTTAATTGTGATGACTAGATAAAACAAACTTACAATTTATATTCTATATAATAACGTATTATATTAAGGTTTCATTAACATGTCTTAGTAAAATTTGTACATGGCCTTAGCTCTACACGTCGTTTCTGTTAATTAAAAACCAACGATGTTATGAACCTTCGTAACCGAAACCAAAACTATCGAATATCTGAAATTAAAATACATCCATAACGATAACCACATTCGCTTAACAAGTTTCGAAAAGTTTTGGGCAAAGGCAGAGTCCATGTTTCGACAGGCATTTGTTTTTTATCGTTGTCCTGAAACTATCCATAATCTAAAATATTTAGGAAACCGATACCTATAATTTTATTCCGAAAATATCAATTCACGTGTGACGATCCGAAATATCGTTTCCATGTTGAAAAACGCACTCCTACCGAGGTTTACTGTAACCCGAACATCATTTGTGTTTAAAGAACCCTACAAAATACAAAGATCCCTCGAGTACATAAAATACATGACGCAAATGTAGGTAAATAAATAGAAAAAAAATAGTTTCTATTATCTTGGCATTGTCGTGATGACATGCAAAGTCGCGATAATATCGTCAGCACGAAATGACTTGCCTATGAATATAGTTTACCTTATAAACAATGTATAATAATTATGGACATTGAACGATCATTGATAAATATTAATTGGAGCAATCTGGAGTAAATGTTTTAGGTTGGTATATGACATTTTCTTTTACATTTTGTACCTTTAACCTTTAATAACCTCAGTCGCATGAAAAACACAACGAAAGCGTTGTTCCACGCCGGTTTATTTGCGAAGACCTCCAGCATAGACGGCCCATTCGTGCCGATGCATGGATCTTCCGCATTTTATAATGGCGAATGTGTCTTTTTAATTTTTATTGTATTTTCCCATGTAGGGATAGCTATTTATTCTGGTGTGTGGGACTATAAAAGAATTTCTGATCGAAATCAGTTTTGAGTTATCTATATTAACATGTAGTATTAAAAAACAACCAACCCGCATTGATCAAGCGTGGTGATTAAAGCTCAAACCTTTGCTCAGCAGTGGGCACTTATAGGCTGATGATTAAAAAACAAAGAACTTAGAACGTACTACATGTGATACATAATAATTCGTTGTGATACAACAAAGAGGTTTATAATCAGTAACTGTAACAGTAACTCAGTCAGAGTCTGACACTCTTTCTCGCCCCGCCCAGGTTGGAAGCAGTCAGTTGATGATTGTCACAGATCAAAAAAAAAATTAAGCCTTTGACTGCCGACCGAAAACGATTCAAGGCAAGTCCTCCGCTACCGTAGGTGACCTACGCGGTGGATAACGGGTTAAGCAACAAAACTAGACATTTATATACCCACTATTCGCCTTGCAGATCCACTTTTAATACAACTTATTGTTGTATTAAAAGTCGCAATAATAACTATCGTGAGACATACTAAATTAACTAAAAATCGCGGGTTACTCACGTGTATATATTGAGAAAAGCTCTACTACATACTACTACTACATAATACTACTACCCCTCTGTGGTTCGAAACTAGTAGAGCTTTTCTCAATATATACCTACACGTGAGTAACCCGCGATTTTTAGTTAATCAACTTATTGTTTCTAAATATAAAGTTATATTACAATCAAATTATTTCCGCTCAGAACGATCTTCGTTCAGGCAAGTGCAAAATTGTTTGCAATTCGCATTAAATGCGCCGGCTTTATTGAGCGAGTGCAATGTCCTGTGAGGGGTCATAGGCTTTGCGGTGACCTCGCGAAATGCATCGTTATTGTTAGGAAACTTTGTTGTGTTTATCCTACACATATTATAGACGCAAAAGTAGGTAAGTATAGTATGCATGAGTGGATTTTTGTTCACTTCTATTAAAAAACCACTTAATGGATCTGAATGAAATTTGGAATATAGACATAGATTATAGTCTGAAATAACACAGTGAAATACGACTACTTTTTACTCTAGTACTGAGGGCGAAACCGCTTGCAGAAACTAGTAATCAATATTTAGTTATGTATATATGTCTAGACTTAGTGTAGCATATCAAGGGCTATGGTGCGGGATAATAATGGTAAAACCAATTTTTAACCAGTTTATTATTAACTAATAATTGCCAATTGCCCTACACTGGGCACCATTCTAAACTTCATACTATTACTTAACAAGAATTTTGAAAACCTAGTTAAGTAAACATGTTAAATGGAGAGTCTTATCTTTAGGTACTTATTGAAGCAGAGCTGCCACAGTCATCATTTTCATTGTAGGCACTACTTGTTTTAAGTATACTTAAGTAGTAAATAAAAAAGGTAAGAAAAGAGGGTGCAGCCTTCATCATAATCATCATTTAACCCTTAACTACTACCCGACACCTACTTGTGAATATAGGCCATCCCCTATGAGTTCCAGGGTAGCTGGCTGGAAACAAACCTACATTCAGCAGCTTTAGAACCAATTCATCAGACATATTTAAAAATTATATTCCATAAATATGAAATTTCTGCTACATATTTACACTAATGATAACATGTGGTATTTTTTTATGTTAATTTACTTTTCTTGTCAATCTAATAAAAAAACAATAATGTACATTTTAAACTATTGAGTTCTGATAAAAAATAATAAGATAATAATAATGGCAAGGACAATGAAGCACTAAGCGAAAGGCCTTTATTCAGCAAGGAACATCTTCCAGGTTATGATCAAAGCTTAACAGTTTAATTATTAAAAGTATAGTACTTACTCATAACAGTAAATTGCAAAGCTATCAACTACTTTATATGAGTAAATAGGTATATGTAATTTAGTGTCATCACAATACCTACTTTGTATGATAACTTTGAACTTTGGACTTGTGATTCTACTCAATTCTAGTGAATAATATTTTCATTCATTCACGATCAGCAATATTCAACTCAATTTACACTTAAACTAGGTATTTATTGAATTGGTTTTTCTTATCTATTATGTATATCTATATTACTATCTATGTGTTTGTCTATTCATTGTACACTTTGATATAATCCACATTTTTTATTATTTGATGATGTTGTTGTGTCCTGTTTTGCGCAAAAAATATTGAATATTTTTTATAGGATCATAGGATAGTTATGATCAAGGTAACATGAGTAAAGCCAATAGCAAAAGCTGGTTTTAATATTGATTCCAATGTATATGAAATATCTGTCTCATAAATGTTAAAAGAACTTAAGTACAAGGGTGGTGATACAGGTCATTGGTGAGTGATAAGCAAACAAGAATTAGCATCTGTGCATGTTATTTTGTTTTCTATCTGTTTTTTTTTTCAAACTAATTCAAAATATGTTTTATTAAATGATATAATTTAATAACCTGTATATTTCAAGGGGCATATAGAATCCAACATTTTTATAAAAATAAATAAGACATGATTTAATAATGGTAATATGTCTTTATTAATAAGGCTAATAATTCTAATGAAATATAAATGACTGATGTTTCAAACTAATATTATTATAATCATTATTAGACTCTGAATATTGAAAATTAAAATATACTACCTAATGTACCTTTCTAAGAAAAAAAGAGACAAGGAATTAACTACGTACAGAATCATAAAATTACCTACCGAAAGCATAGAAATGTCGCAAATCTTAAATCAGCCAAATAATTCTGTGGGTATCCTTAGGTGCAGATTCGAAATATTTTTTTACCAATTAAAATAAGTTTTCAAGATAAAAATCTTTAACTAATTGATAACCGGACTATTTTCCAATCTATTCAAACATCGACTGCGATAACATTGGTCTCAAGGATACCGATTTCTATTATTACATTTCTGTACCCTTGTAACCTAACAAAACTCTTCCGGATTTATATTGAAAACACACCACAACATAATGTCAGCATTTTAACACATAATTTCCACTAAATCAAAGAAATACGACAAAATGTAAACCGAAAAATCAATACTTACTTGGTTGTCTTGAAAATTGTTAGACCACTCGGACGTCCATGTTTTCACAGCAAACATGTTCGAATTATCGTTGATATTGTTTAAAAGTCCTACTACATCCATGTTCGTTAATAATATCGATTTTTATTGAAATTAATTCGAGAAATTCATCGCTATTCTCTGAAACTATCAGCTGTTTGACAAATAAATAACAAAAAGTGGAGTAGCGGGGAACGGGGTACAATACTATAGACAAATAGAATGAAAACGAATGGAATAAAACGCTACTCTACTACCACATTGTCTCTGATCTCATCAAGTTTTATACACTGTACTTTTTCCATACAAATCCTGTATAATCTGTTGCATACATTCTTAAAAGAGTGAAGTGATTGAAATGTACATTTACCAACCGACGTGAAATTCGTTCAAGTCACCCTCCTCCCTTCATTAGCGTATCTCATTATTCATTCATTCGGTTATCGCGGCTTGACCCTTTCACTTCGATTTCCGTCATTCATTGATTTCATTCCGTTCTGGACGTTTACCGTGGAAGGTTGTGGGCTAGCCAAGTTAATCAATTCTCCTTTCTGAAGTGCTTCTTTACTATCATTGCCATTAAACTAGTGGTGAAATCAAAGTAAGTGTTAGCTCAGTGTAATTACGCAACTAATAATAATTTAAGTGAAGTGAATATAACAAAATGGCGTCGAAAAAATGTTACACGTTGCTTTTCTATTTTCCAGATGTCTCGCTACCGAGAATGGGACCTTTCTTGCAAGGTTTACGTCGGCAATCTTGGAACAAATGCTTCTAAATACGAAATAGAAAAAGTATTTTCCAAATACGGAAACATAAGAAATGTGTGGGTGGCGAGAAATCCACCAGGATTTGCGTTTGTAGAGTTTGAAGATCCACGTGATGCCGAAGATTCCGTAAGAGGATTGGATGGCACGTAAGTAATACCGAAATTACTAAGATACTAAGTTTTGTTCCTTTATTTACCTATAGTCCATAATGCTTTTCAATCCCGGTCGAGCCGAAGTTCATCCGCCATTTTAGTTTCACTTGACCCACTTGACGATGCTTCTGAATACTTTTGTAGACATTTACCTTCTTTAATTATTTGGTACTTAATCGTTTAAATCGAAGTCGTGTTTCTTTATTTAAATATCACGGTACGAGTGTATAATACCATGAAATGTTTACTTAGTTAGCTTCGATAAGAAATAGCATGGTATTTTTTTTCTGGGAAGAAAATCTTTCGTACAACTTTAAGAATATCTTGCAGTTCATAAGCCATGAGCTTGTAAGACAATAAGTACTCAAATTAATCTACCATCTGTTTTGAAACCGAATGCCTATTTCGCGTGACTTTAGCATATCAACGATAGCTTAACGATCATGGCGTCGACTGCCGATCAATAGATCGCGAGTTCAAACCTCAGTATCAACGGCTACTTTGCACGCTCCTTAGATCCGTTTCACTTTTAATGTGAAACGCTTGAGTCATAAGTGTGCTAGATCACGATACCTCCAAACTGAGACTGAGATGTGATGTCCTCTAAATGGATAACACTTGTCTTGGAATGGGGAACATTCCCTTTTTTATAAATTTTTCGCATTAAAAGTAACATCGAAATATTTCATGGAATAATTACCACGTTATGTGATTATTTTTATTTTACAGCACAGATAAGCAACTAATCACAAAACTTTTAGAGTTTAATTTAGGGCTGCTAAATTAATTGACGTCAGTTTTATCCATGGACATGCACAAGTACCTATTAGATTCCTATTACAGTTATTTATTTGTTTTTTATTGATTCTAGGCGATGCTGTGGCACTCGCATTCGTGTTGAAATGTCTAATGGCCGCACAAGAAGAGATCGCCGATACTCCAGGTAAGTCACAGAAAAATTTGATCAGTTGTTAGAGTAGTTTACCATTTGTACCTAAATGAAAACGGGGATCTGCTAGCATTTTCATGTGAATGAAAATAAATGCATCCTTACAAACAAAAATAAAAGAATAATGCGATAACTTCCTTAGTAACTGTCTATACACCTAATCTTATGGGGTAAGACAAGATTCGAATTGATAATCCATTAGCTATCATCATTAACAATTAAGTACCTCATTATTTACCTCCGTAAGTCTAATTTGCAATTAGCAAATGGACTGCAATTCGTAATTTGCTTGCTTTTAAATAATAAAGATATTGTTACTTTAATGAAAGACAAGTAGTTAAGTAAGTACGTTGATCTGGAGATATTAAAAGTGGTGGGTGTTGGAACGTTTACAGGTCCATTTTATCAACCAACCACCAACACACCAACGACCTCACCACATGTCTTCACCACAACTACGGCTCGTTAACCAATCTGACATCCGCGAACGCCGCTCGCAACAACATCCCGCTCAACTTCTGCGATCGGCTCTCCAAACTTCTGCGCGCAGCCGACGTCTCCAACATCTGCGTCCCTATAACTTACCTCCTGACAGCCATCACCTAGTCCCCAACCGTAATCCGAACCTGGACTTGAATATAATGCATTATAAAGAGCCACACAATGTAGGATCCTACAAACATCCTGAATGTCATTGCAACTCCTAATGCTTCACCGACTGCACACACTCGTCGTCACCGTGGCACCGAGCTAGAAATACAACCTAACGGCGATCAACTTCCCCGTGTTACCGCAATTTTTCTTGAAACTTCCACTTAATGCCACCGTTCGACGGAAGATAACATTGAAAATCGCCTCCGCCTCAGTAATATCCCTTCGGCCTCACAGCAGCCCCACAACGGTCAACCTCCGCAGGCTCACCATGTCTCGGTACTTTTTAAATCCTATACTTAGAACCTTACCTTGCCTATACTTAGAACTAGACAAAAGTCGTGTTGGCGTTTAAGGTGTAGGTAACTAGGGATTTGTGTAATGTAGTCTGTAATTAAATGGGCCCCCAAATATTTAAAAATATTGCTGAATTATACATGAGTACACAGAAGAAATATCAAATCATCAAGGCGGTGAATGACGTAAGATTAAATATACAGAAGGACGATAAAATTGTATAAATTCGAGCGCTACTCTATTAAAATTTCCCTGAGGTGTGTAGATGTTGCACTGTGTTTACGGTATGAACAAGGCTGGACGTATCATAACATTTTGTATATTGATAGATCCCGCAGTCGCAGCCCAAGAAGGCGTTCGTATTCGCGAGGCAGATCGGGATCGCCGCGCCGCTCCCCATCAGTTCGGCGCCGCTCACCCTCCGTACGGCGCTCACGATCACGCGACCGTCGCAGCCGCTCTGACAGCAAGAGCAGGTAGGTATGTAGACCCAAGAATTAAATTATTTTCGTAATCTCACAATGGTACAAACTTGAAACATTTTATTTTATTAATTTGACCTTTTTTATTTTTTCAGACATTGAAATTACAAAGGCTTCCGAAGAAAAACTTGGACAAATATTCTGTAATATAAGTGATGTGATGTGAATAGAGCGATCGTGTGTATGAATCCAGTAGGCTACTACAACTATATTTTTAATCCTTTATGGTACAAGCAGCTTTTGTTTATTGTAGTTATAATTCGCTGTAAGGTTGTATATTTTATACTCCCGATAGATGGGTGTTTGGTCTTTGAAAAATTTGGATAATTACGTAAGAGAATATTAATCGCGCGTCAAGTGGATGGTCATTTTCATTCACATTTCATTCGAAGTTTATTGTAACTTGTTACCTGACACATCATCTGGAAAGCAACAATCTGAGATCTTGAGGAAGATATTAGAACAAATCTAAGACTAATTTTCATATTGCAAATTAGACAGCGACAGGTCTGATTTCATTCATCAATTCTAGTTTCAAACATCAGAATGGTTAACTTCACAATGGAGATAATGATTGCCTTGTATAATGCTAAAGTTTTTCGAAGAAACGCCCTAATGCCTTACAAAGTTGTATAATTTCTGTTTTGTAAGAATCAACACATATACTAGATACACATAGAAAAAATATTTTAAGATGACTAAATAAATGTGGAATTAAAATCGAAATTTTATTTTCTTATCCTACATTACATAATAATTAAAATATTTTCAAAATCAAACGATATTGCATGATAAGTAGATATCTATATAACAAATACTTTCGATCATTACAAATAATTACATTTTGGACCTACACAACACTTTTATATAAAATTGTATAAAATAAACTCTTAAAACTTAAAGATCTAGAAAGTCACAACAACAATGACCCATTGTCACCGCTCTAATAATAATAAATTCGGCAGGAATGTCAAGAAGTCAGTTCAAATACTATATAGGTATTAAAACTTATTTAGTCTTAATACTTACCGGTCTTTGCCTCCTAGCAGAGAAAAAGTCGAAATATACGCAAGTGCCTATAGCAACTAACACAGTTCCTATAACGTGATAAATATTCAAGTTATTTTTGAACACAATTGTAGAGATCAGTAGAGAAGCGAACTTTCTTAGCGTTAGAATGAATGTAACTGTAACTGAAGTTTCTTTGGTAGCAAGTTCATGTACTGAATGCGTACAATAGAATTGAGAAAGTATATTGAGGGCAATTAATACCCATGCTCCAAATGGCAGGATTGATGCAGTAGTTAGCAGTGGAGATGAGAGTGTAAAAAACAAAGGTAATGGTATTGCATGAGTGTAAAACAGCATCTGTAACAAAAAAATAGAGTTAAAATGCTGAATGTTATGGGATGCATGGATGGATCTGTTAACTGATTGCTTGAAAACAGAGATACAGAAATTTTACGCTTTTTTTTTTTTTTTGATTGGATTAGTCCTTACTTTCAATGGCATGATCAGTTTCAGTGTGTCAATGTAATGGTGACTAGAAAATTTAAAATAACGTTTTTCATTTATCCCTCTTGCTGTCAATGTCTATCTCTTGTTTCCATTGTGCAACTAATAATATACAATTATTTTTTCAAGCGTCATTTACATTATGATAAATATCTACAACAAAATTTGTTTAAAATATAATAATAGCTGTCTTAACTTAATCACTGTTGTTTAATTTATAAAAAACAACTTAGTAATAAAATTCATATCTTATTTACAATTAGTAGAATATTAACCAATAATGATAATAAGAATTGCTCATTGTCAGATACTGATATGTTTTTACATAAAGCTATAAAACTTGTAGGTAAAAATTACATATCATAATATGACTTCTTCATTTTCTTTGAAATTACATCTCATTAACTTCTGCAGAATTATTTCTTTTTGACTCATGTTGTGCAATTCCCTTCTAAATAAAAAAATCATACATATGGTGATAAGTCTTACCTCATTAGGATGTTTTCCATATTTAGAATACAGTCTTTCTTGTTGTAAACCAGTAAATGCACCAGTTATCAAAGTCACTAACAGTATGGTGACTCCTATGCACCAATATAGGAAGGTTCCTTTGTTCTCCTCATCTGTGGGAGCTCCACCATACATGGCCAGTGCCACTCCAGCACTGATTAGTATGGAACCAATGGCATTGTTGAGCTTTGGTAGTTGTTTCTTTACACAGCAATAGACTAGCATGCTGGCAGGTGATGATGCTGACCTGGAAAATAACCAGTTACTTTTCAGTGTGTCTATCTTCAGAAGGGATTCAGCAATAATCATTAACCACGAGACATCCATGGCTGATTATAAGACCCCACTTGCAAGTAGGCCTGTTGAAAGTGACCTACATTCAGCGGTTCCACTTCCTTTAGTAGTAATGTATATGTAATCATAATGATTGATGATAGTTAACGATTTTATAAATGCAATTTTTACTACCATTTTATATAGATATGCTTAATAAACAATAGAGGTAGGTAATTACCGTATAATCATGTGCAGCGTAGAAGGCACATGCAGAGCATACACATAATTATTAGCCACAGTAGTAATGAAGAAAAGAGTGACTAGCAAAACATACTGCTTTAATGGTATCTTTGGACCTACCTGAAATGAGATTTAGATTATTATTACAATTTTAGCAGCAACACCAATTGTTTTGTGTCCTTTGGAACAGAGTCACCTAAAGCTAAGTATTTGATTAAGAATACAAACCAAAAATTGAGATAAAAAATCAAAATGGCTCGAGAGCAATTAAGTACCCATGTTTGTAATCATTAAATATTTAATTACAAGTAAAATAAATGGAGACCCAAGTCAATGTAAAAGGAAAATAACACCATAAATAGGTACCTATTTATTACGAATGAAACGCGTCTCTGACGCAATTATTTCAGTATAAAATGACTCACCGTTCCCCATTTTGTTGTTACTATAAATCCATGCAGGGATATAAAGAAAAACTGTAAATAAGTTACTAAATTCGCACTGTTTGGCCAATTTGCCATAAGAATTTCCATAAGAAAAGCGCTAGCGCAACATCCTACGAAAACATTGACGGTGGTTGGTGAGACACCCATGATTAAAATTTTAATTCTTATTTAAATAATAATTTAAAAATTCTTATGAATCACATTGGAAAAATTGTAAAAAAATATTCCCGAGTTTTATATTTTTCCCGGCGCCCGCGCACCCGACTTGACACAAATTACTACCTATGTGTAGTTTCAAAACTTTGACAGTGACATTAAATTCTAACAATAATGACGTGACATGATTTCTACCATCAATTTTTTGGTAGGTTTTTTGACTGAATCTTTTTACAATAAACATAAAGTCCGTTTTTGTTTGATTCTATTTAGAGAATTACATATTTTTGTGTGTTAAAAAATGTGTGTCGATGTTAATGATGTGTTTGTGCCTGAAGTCACGTGCATTTGCCAAAAAGTCATTGGCTTAAGATAGGGTTACCAAGTTTCTATGCTTTTAAAAATAACAAATCTTTTTTTAAAGGTTAATAAAAAAATACACTAGAAATAATATGAACCCTTGGTCGCGAGTCTGACAACATATCCTACAACGAGTTCATTTAGGCAGTCGAGCAATAAAGACTAAAGGCTAGTATGGTTTGTGATAGGCCTGGTACTGTCAGACACACGGATGGGCGGAGAGCGGAGTCCTAGTTATAGGGTTTCCGTTTTTATTATTTCATTTTAACATTTTAACCATTTTTTCATACAGATTTGTGATCAGTGGTTCTGAATGAAGGTATTTTTATCACATTATCATTTAAATTCCTTTCAAGTTGCACTACCTACATAGGCAGTGATGTTTTTTTGCCGATGGTCATTGTCGGCGTTTTGCCGTTGTCTCGCCTGGTGGTAATCTACTTCTTATGTTGATGAAAAACAGAAGACTTGTTTTGGTCTTAAATTATGTATAAAATGCGATTTGAAACTTGAATTTCATTATTTTTACTTGTGTAGAATATTCAGATTAGACATGGCAATACCTTAATTTACAAAAGTTGCCAAGTATTTACACACTCAGTAGAATGGTAGAAACGAAAAATAAAAATATTTTCCTCTTTCTTTTTTTGCAGGACAGCTAGGATAAATACCAAGAGGATAGAACCACTGTTGGTGGTTATATCGTGGTGGTGTCATTGGTAATTACGTTAGGGTAGCACGGTAGGTCTCGTCTTGAAATATCAGTCATTTTCGACTTTCAAAAAACTTCCATTTTAATACACCGTACCTATTTCATCAAAATCTGTAACCGAATTTGATTCCGATCTCAATCGAATCATTTTCAATAAACATTCGTATTTGTATTCTATTTGACCTATATCAACGTGGCAGGCAGATATATTTACCTACGTACACAAGAACTATGTACAAAACCCGGGTATAGAATAGAAAAATGTGTATGTAGGTAATATAATAATGCCAGTAAGTTTAGAAAACTATTACTGGTATTATAGTTGTTTCATGACTATAGCTAATATAGTACTGTGGCTTGTGTGGCGTTTCGCCCAAAGCCTTTACAATGATACGTTCACTATGGTGAGATAAAGAAAGAAGTAGGGGCGTTCGGTAGCAACACGACACGCCACGCCATGCAAATGTGTTTCCAACCTTAGTATGGAAAATCAGTTTGAAGTGGTAAGATTACAAACAAAAATAAATTATTTATAATAATGACATGTTTTCCAATATACCTGGAAAAGCCGAATCTATTGCTAGTAGAGAGCCATTCATTCAAGTGTTTTGAGCACGCACTTAGATCGGGTTCTTCTTCAATTATTTTAAAAGTACATGTATCTAGATAGATAACTAGGTATAATCGTTTTTTTAGTAAGTTATTATATTGTCTAACTTCAAATGGTGCTATGTTATGAAGGTGTCGGTCGAGGTGCCTCAGGCGCAGTAACGTACCGCCTAGTTATACCAACAGCAGAAGGTGCTGGAATGGGTGGCTTTAGTTAGTAAAAGTAGGTAGGTACCTATTAGGAATCTAACACTCAGATCTGTTCTACCAAGACAAGAGCGGGAAAAGTCCCGGGATGATTTTTTCCCTCGAAAAGATATGTATTTGCCTTGCCGATTTCAATAACTTACAAATTATAGTTGTAGACTTATGGGTCACACTCGTAGGAATGTCGTGTTTAATCCAAACTGCTCAATTAAAGATTCGTTAAATATGTAGTCACGACGTTTGTTTGTATTAATGATACAAAATATAAAAATATAATTATGTAGGGAAGTAATTAGGAAGTAGGTATTTAGTTTCAGGATATTTTGTTAGTTCAATAATAAATAATACGAAGGTCGGTTGGTTAAAGACGTGCAGAAACAAAATAAACAAAGCTGTTATCACCTCCGCTCTATTCTAGGCTGATATTGTAACTACATATGCATGTATAACAGGCTGAACAGGTGCGGTATAAAATTTTCTCTGACTTGAGAAAATTACTGTAGACAATATTGTTCAATTTTCCCTAAATATCTGTAATGTTTAGGGAAAATTACCAACATTAAAGAAGGAAGATCTAGATATTGTTACACTGTGTTACTATGAGAAAATCGACTGCGTGCAGGTAAGCCCTCGATGCAGTTATATGGGTTCCTGAATATAACTAGGCACTTATAACTGGATATTGTGTTATGGCAGCAATGGGGATCGTATCGAACAACCGACTGCCGCGTCGCAACAACGTCAGTCGTACTCGTAGGTAATGGCGAACCGCCCAAACAAGCTTCGCGCCATAGTCGCGGATACCGGCCGAGTTGGTTGATCAACTATCAAGCAAGTCCGCCTCGCCGCGCACACTCGCACGGACGTGTCGTGTTCTCGCGCCAAAATGGTCGCTTCACTCCGATTTCACGCATCGAACTCTTAAACTTTTCGATCGTTTTTTTAACTGTTATTTTTTACTTCGATCAAAATCAACAGTTTTTTAGTGGTGTAAGTGTTATAGTTGTACAAGTGTAGTGACTGGTGATTGTATTAGTCAGTTGTTTTTATTTTAAATTAAATGCACAATGCAAACGGTTATTGTTTCTGAGTTAATGTCAAGTGTGTACGAAATTGCACAGTTGGGAAAATGTTGACAGGATACACATTCCTAGTGTTCTGTGTGCTTGTATCACTGATATTCCCATCAGGTAAGATAATTTTGAAATAATTCGGATATTTAAAACGACCTTCATATTTGAATAAGTTAATTTTATTACAACCTGTTTTGCGAAATGTTTTGCAGAGTTGGTTCTTAATTAGATTTGCTATGAGGTGATCCTTTATCAGGTAGATTACTTCGGTTTGGCTATACCTACTTGAATAATAAGATACTTCTTGACCTATCTAAGTTAAGTACCTAGCTTGGGCATACATCCAGTGTGTATGAAAAACTTTCTTATCACTCCAAAAGGATTAAAATAGATCTTTTAGTAGCTAGATGAGATACAGACATAGATTAAATCCCTGTAAAATAATGTTCATTTTTATAACCAGCCATTAAATTTTATGTACGGTACTTAAATGAAACCTACCCACTTTTAAATAGGTAAGTAAGTAGGTACTTATAATATGCCACATGATTACCGACCTGCTTGCAACAGTGCGTGACGTGTTTATTTACTTCGCAGCCTTGCTAAATTTTATTAATTCCATTAAATTTCGCGTCATAATGTCGGTACACAGGTAGTGATAACTAAGTGCCTAAACTGCATTATGAGGTGAAACCGTTAACTACTACGTAAGAGAATGCGTATCAACCTTAGCATTAAGTAACTTATAAGTACGTTTCTTTCTGTTTACTGCTGAACATTATACCTACTTAGGGCTGTCCCTTCTGCCTTTCTCTTCTAACCATGCGGACTTTATCGAGACGAAGTTTTTACTCAGTGCACCTCGTCCCCAACAATTTGTCTTCGACAATCTTCGACAAATGTGATTGGCCCACTGCCGCTTAACTTGCTTGTTCTTTTTTAATTTATACGTTTGAAAATTGTAATTTCGTTGACATCATCATCATCATCATCATCATCATCATCAGCCCGTTGTCGTCCACTGCTGGACATAGGCCTCCCCAATTCGTTGACATCTTTGTCTCGATATTGGTTTTATTGGACGGGGGTAAAACGGGCGTTCATTAATTATGTACATTAACCAAGCACGACAAATACGAACACGGCTGCACATTTGGCCGCTATCGAAATGAGTCATTAACAACGAGAAGAGAACGTTTTCTTCATTTAAATCAGCACTAAATTTTTAACACATTATAACCGCGGAGTGATGCCTGACGCCAGAGTAGGATAGAATAGAACACAGTATCCCCACATAACATTTCGAACGGGTGTAGTGAGACAGACTACGTATTTGAAAGAGAATTCGAAAACCAGCTCTATAAGCACAGGACTCTTACAAATTCAAAGGCTGGTGATGATCTGTTACTTAATATTAAAATTTGTAAGTATCTATGTAGGGGATCTTTGGAATCGCTGGTCGGATTGCCAAAATTCTTTTACCGATAGATAGCTACAGGCTATAAGATAAAAAACATTCCTGAGTGCTATAATGCTATGAAACATCACGCTACGATCAAAAGGAGCCGAGCAGCGGGTGAAACCGCGCGAGAGTAGCTAATAAAAAATATTTGAGATTCTTCTTCGATTTTTTATTCATAGAATTAGATACTCAAAACTGGAAACTTAGCTAGCAGTCGCAGTCGCAGTCTAAAAGATAAATATTATTGAGATCACATTATGCATGGAAATAATTGTATAATTGATACAAGGAAAACCCATTGTTTGTTAACAAACGGGATGGGAAGTGTGTTAGAAAAACAGTGCGAAGGTCAAGACGATAAAAAATATTGCAAAGGTACTATGACTACTAAAAGTTAATGAAAATAACGGTTTATAACAGTTACTTAGTTACTTTTTCTACCGCTGTAGTATTGGAGTTAATTCTCATCAAGGGGTGAATATTTGTACATAACTAGGCAGCTTATGTGAACAGACTATAACAAAGTACTGCTGATATACTCCAAAGCCACACCTTTGAGGTGACGTGGACTGATTTGTTTAACACTAGTAGTTATGCGAACTCCTTGTAAAAACCAATTACAAAGAGCTATAAAATAGCATTAAATGTAAAAATAGACCTCGACAGTTTGCATTCTGATCACGTTCTACAATTTATGGTTAGCTACCACATTATTTTTAA